TCCAGGTGATGGAGAACTCAGTACCTTCTAAAACTGTCCATAGGAAACTCCCCAAATTTCCTAGCTTGTTTCCACTGTCTGTCAGATAGAAGTTTTTAACAACTGCTTCTTCTCAGTGGGAATGACTTCCAATATTGTAGGAATCTTTATGACCACATGGCTGGCTGAAGGGAGGTGGTAACCAGACAGATTTGTGGAACATGTAAGTAGGTCTTAGGCATTCTCAGAATCAGAGAGGCAGGACAGCACACTGGTTAACAATGAGTTTCAGAATCACAAAGACCTTGATGTGAGTTCTGCTTTGCTGCTTAGCTATGTGTTCTTGGGTGAGTCACTTTCAGAGCCTCAATTTGCTCACATGAGGATTAAATGGAATAGAGCATGGGAAACACTGGGGACCTGGACCTACACATACCGCACATTTGCTTAGTAGATGGGAGCCAATATTCATGGGAGGGACATCTTACAGGGTGGTGGCTCCGGGACTGATACATGGGCATTAAAGAAATGACCTTGGAACTTGGGGACACCTAGACTGACAATTTGTTTCCCCAAGCTATTTCATAGTGGATTTTGTCCAGGATGTTGCCACTCAGGGAGGGAAATTCCTGTCAGAGATGCTGTTGGCTGGGAACCTTATCTGGAGTCTAGTGAGTTCTTGGGGTGCCATCCTGACCTTATGAAACCTAGAACAAAATTCATTGTACAAGTAGCAGCCTTTAAACTCCTACACATGTTCATATTTACTCACTCAATTGATCTTCAGTTGATGTTGTGAGATGGACAGGAATTATTATCCTCAGTTGGCAAGTGGGGAAGCTAAGGCTCAGAGAGGTGAAGTATTTGGGTTTGAGGTTTAGCTGCTGAGAAAGTACTACTCCTACTCTACACACCCACCTACCACCATTTCCTGCTTCTTGAATCTTCCTCCTAATGCTAGAGCCAGAGGTTAACTCCTCTGTTCCTCAGAGCACCAGTTTCCCTTCCTCCTCCCCAGATGTCTTTCCAGGCTCCAGCTCTTTGAGCAGTTTGTTGTGCTTACCCCAGCACCACGAAGTCTACTGCTCCTGCCTTCTCTCTCACTCATCCACTCAACAAGCACAAGCTCAGGACCTACTGTGTGTCTAGGTCCTTGAGAGGCAGAGGTGAACAAGACACTGACCACAGACTCAGGTTCACAGACTGGTGGGAAGACATGCATCATAAGCTGTTTCCAAAAACAGTGTGGTGTGCAAAGAGATAGGGCATGGAGTGTTTGGGGATCCAAAAGGTGACTCACCCAACCCATTTTGGGGTGTCCCAATAAGCTGCTGCTTCTTTTTCAAAAATTGTATTGGCCAATAGGCTTCTTGGAGGCATTATTTGGGTTGTCCTAAAGAATGAGTTGGCATTAGCTAGGAATCCAGTGGAGGGAGCAGCACAACTTATAGGCAGTTTGGGGCCCCTGGAGAGAATGATGAGATTTGATGCTGGGGGCTCAGCAGGTGCCAGATCACACAGAACACTGAGAATCAGACTCACCTGCCTGACCCCCAGGTGCTGGGTCAGACATATGATTCTAAATGGAGGATGTTGGGAATGGTCAGGTATGTCTAGACAAAAGGGAATATACCCATGACAATATGTAAGGTTCAGCCAATATTTCTATATACATATTTACATGCGCTGTGAGAATGTCCATATATATAATAGAGATAATAAAGGGCAAAATTATAACTTCTTGGCCACAGCCAACCATCTAAGGGAGTAGTTGGACCTGTGGGCTTGGGATTCTGGTCACAGGGGACATCAAACTCAATTGGCATGACATATTACACAAAAACATTGTTCTACATCCTACTTTGGTGAGTAGCGACTGGGATCTTGAAAGCTCGCAAGTGGCCATCTAGATGCAGCAATGGATTTCTCCTCATCCAGAGCAAAGAATAATGAAGAAAACCAAAGACACTTGGAAACAATTAGTCCAAGGGACTATAACCATGAGACCAAAAGAACTAGATTGTGCCCAGCTACCACTGTCAATCACTCAGAAAGGAATGGATGTAGGAGATTCTGGACAGAATGGGAGAACAATGTGGAACAAAACTCAAAAATCATTAAAAAAAAAAAAAAAAAAAAGACCAGGTTTATTGGTATGAAGGAGCCTGGTGAGACCCCTGAGACTATGGCCCCTAGTTACCCTTCAGGTCTGGAACTGAACTCACTCCTGTGGCTTCCAGCCAAACAATAAACAGGCATGTAGGGTGAACATTTGCATCAAGTAGATATACTCCCTGGAGTGATCCATCGTGGGAGAATAGAAGGGCAGTGTTTGTGCAGGGAGATAGATAGCTCATGAGGCCGGAATGCATAGGAAAGGACACAGGGAAGAGGTAACTACAGGGAGGAAGTGGGAAGAGAGCTGTTACATTGTGGGGAGTTGCAGTCAATGTCATGAAACAAAATGTGTATGAACTGTTCTATGGAAAATGAATTTGCTCTGTATATTTTCACCTAAATCACAATATAAATAAATAAATGGAGAATGTTGGGGGAATCCAAGACTGGAGGGAACCAGTAAGGAGGAGGCAGTTGACAAGAACAGAGAAAATATGAGGATGGTAGGTATGATGGGTAGCAGTGGATAGCTTTTGGAAATATTTAGGAGGCAGAATTGATGAGGCCAGGATGCAGACTGGATGCAGGGAATGAGGGGGAGTCAGGATGACACCCGAATTATTCCAGCTGGGGTGATGTGTCCATAGTGACAACTTTCGGTGGTGTGTTGAAAAGAAAATATTGGTTTCACTGTACAAATGGAGAAACTGAATCAGAGAAGTGAAACGTGCACAGGACAGGAGCTCAGGACTGTGTGTCAGCCAGGTGTTCAGGGGAGCCCTTGAGGCTCTCAACCTATCCTTCCTGCTCCAGTGGGGAGACTGCGAAGGTTAGAACCTGCCTGCTTAGTCCAGATCTAAAGCTGAGCTGCTACTGTCAGAATCTCCTTCTCTCATAAATGGACTGATTTGCCTTGGCAGGTGCTAGTTTTCCTATCTGTAAAGCGGGGAGGGCTGAGAAGTCACAGAAACAAGGCCCCGGTTCATAAAGCTTTGAATCTTACCAGTATGGCAAGTCCTCCCTCACCAGCTGTTATCTCAGTCTTTTTTTGCGCCTCTTCCTCTTTGGTTTCATCTCTAAATGTGTGTTCAGGGCTGTCACAGGTCCTTATTCTCTGCTCTCAGTCTTGGAAACAGGACTTTTCCAACTTTAATGTACACACAAATCACACACAGATCTTGTTTAAAAATGTAGATTCTGAGTGAGCAGGTATAGGGGTGGGCCTGGGACTCTGCATTTCTCATAAGCTCCCAGATGGTGCCAGCGACACTGTCCATGGAATACACTTTAACAAGCCCAGTCTCTTGGTTTCACAAACATCCTACAAGCTCTCTCCCCAGAACATCAACTTCTAATTACAGCTCTTATTTGACATCTTCATTGGGATATCTAAAACAAAACTAAACATTTTCCCTAAACTGTTCCTCCTCAACTCTTTTCTATTTCAGTATTCAACTACTCAAGTCAAAAATCTGTAAGATATACCTGAATTTGCTTTTTCTCTGATCCTCTACATATAAACTCCCAGCAAGTGCTGTCTACTTTATCTTCAAAGCATATCCTGACCCTGCCCATCCTCCTCTCCCTACATCTCTTGTTCAGGTACATCTCTGGTCTGGGCTGTGTAGTAGCTGCTGGCCTGGTAAACCTGTACTTCCTCTGCTCTCCCAGTAAATTCTCTGTATAGCAGTGAGAACAACCTTTTAAAAAATGTAAATGAAATCATGTCATTTCCTGGGACAGAATTCCAACTCTCATGGAATCCAGACTTTCTGGAGCTATTAAGGCTGGATGAGCCCCTGAAACTACTGCCCTGAGATAATCTTTAACCCTGAAATCATTCACCGAAATATCCCAAAGCCTTCTTCAAACCAAACACAGTCTAGCTTAACTAGTAAAGAATGTCTATCATAAGCTTTATGCTCTTTTACAAAACTTACTCTATGAGATCAACTGTGAACAGCAACTTGAAAAGTTAGAGAGGAAGCTAGGGAAAAACGAGTTTATGTCAACACAGAAGGAAAAGAAGGGTGAGAACAGCTGTGTAATTTGAAGACTGTAATCACTGCATTGTACATAGGGAAATTGATTTGGTGTATATTCTGTCATATATTTTTAACAAGAACCATGTTATTCTCCCACTTAACTTCTTACCCTGTCCTACAAGTCCAATGACTAATTCTTGTCCTTTCCTGCTGTACCTTGTACAAATCTTTGTCCTGAGGTTACAGCCACATTGGCCTCCTTTATGGGCCCCTGAGCATAGCTGACCTGTTTCCCTCTTTGTGGTCTTTGCCTTGACTGTGCCCTCTGCCTCCTGGTCCTGGATTGACTAGCTCCTTCTCACTACTCATTTCTCAGTTTCTAGGTTACCTCCCCTGAGAGGCCTTCCCTGACTACCTCATCTGAAGTCACTCCCCATCCCTCACCCCAATTTAATTCTCTGCACATGTCTTATCAGTAGATGACACTGGTTTGCTTATTGTCCATTTCCCCCACTAGGAGGTAAGACCTATGTCAACCTGGTTCATCATTCTAATGCCAGCATCTGGAACAGGGCCAGAAGAGGTGTTCAAAAAATATTTGTTGCACCTAATTCCCCTGAGCCTCAGTTTTCACAGGGTTAAGATTAAATGAGATATGCATATAATGCCAAGGCACAGTGCCTGGCACTTGGTAACCAGTGGCTAATACCAGTGCTACTGTTATCAATACCATGATGGAATCCTCTGGCAGGAACATGCAAGGCAGGCCCAGCAGTATTCCCACATACTCTCCAAATGACCTACACTCCAAGCAGCTGGGCAAACTGGACCTGGCCCATTTCTTATTGCTGCCAAATTCTTTAACAGCCAATAGCAGAGAGAGGGCAAATTTAAGGATGAAAAGCAGAGAACAGGGAGTTTCAACTCAACTGTAAGTTTATTAGAAAGGCCATGGACAGATGAACCCTGAGTTACCAGCTGAGGAAGAAATGAAACAAACCAAAACAAAAAGCCCCTGCCCGCCTCGGCCTGCTCCACTGGCCTCCTATGAGCTCTGTCCTGTGGCAGACCCCCACAGAAGTCGGCCAAAAAGTGCTTTCCTGATCTTCCCCCTGGGGCGGCCCAATCTGACTGCAGGAGACCCACTGGCGGGCTGACGCAGATGCTGGTGCCTGGAGCTGGGAGTCGGTGGGGACTTGGTCCTCTCCTGTAGCAGGATGTGGTTCCAGAACCCCCCAGCAGACCAGAACAGACAAGGAATTGACTGGGGATGGAGTGAAGTCTAAACAGCCAAAGGCTCTGGGAGGTGACGCTGGACTGCCTTGGAGGCGTGCACAGATGGCTACGGACAGCCAGTTGTGGGGTTCTCCCCAGGCTTCTCTGCAGAGTCCCAGGCACACAGAGCCCTTGCATGACTCAGTGCCCCTCCCAGGCTGTACGGGCTACTTCTGCTCCAGAAAGGCAAAATCTTGTAAAAATCCATCGTGGTTGATGCCATTTTTTCCCTTAAAAAAAGATGAAGAGTTTGTACAGTGGATCAATTTCAACCAGCAGAGCTTGAGCCAAGAAGAGTCCATCCTGGGAAAGGAGAAGGCACTTCTAACACCCTCACTGGGGGTGATCTGGGCTGGCTGCTTCCTGGATCCCTCGGGGCTCCAGCTCCCTCTGGCCTTGCGACTCAGGCCTGTTCCCTCTGGGAAGTATGCTGCCTCCTTTGAGCTAGCACCGCCTTGTGGCCTGCACACACTGGCCCCTCACAGGGTGGTGGACGGTAGCTTCCTCACCCGCCGCTGGGCCAGGATAGATGATTCAATGGGCTTTAGCTGAGGAGTGGGTTTGGAGCTATTGAGTGCAGAGTACGTGGCTGCCATGGCTCCCTGAGAGGAAAAGAAGGAGGTCAGTTCACCAGATGGGCATGCTCCGGGCCGGGCCAGCCCTCCCTGTGTTCCAACGACCTCCTCATCCCACAGCCGACCCAGCCCACTGTTAATCTAGCCTTGGTGGTCCTTCATGTCCATTGGTCCTGGGGTCTTCCAAGGTCAGGGGCTCCCCTACAACTATAGTCAGTAAGTGCAGTGTTGATACTGCTTTATATTAGACTGGGGCTCCCTGAGGACAGGGCTGTGTCTTCTTTTCCTCTGTCCCACCTGATGGTGCCTGGCACAGACATGGTATCTCTTTGTCTCTGTCATCCCAATTCCCTGGCCATGGGAACCTTGGCCTGAACCCCCACATGCCCATACCTTCACAAGCTGCAGGTCCTGGTGGGAGAGCTGGCTCTGGGGGAGCTTGTCTTTCTGGGTGATCCATGGGTGCTGAAGAACCTGCTTGGCTGTGAGGCGCTGGTGGGGGTCTACATGTAGCATCTTGGATACCAGGTCCTAGTGACATAGTGGTTAAGGAGGTTGGTGGGGAAGGTCAGGGGGGAGCAGATAGCTGTGCCCCACTGACAGGGAATGAGCAAGGCAACCAGGCCTCACCATTTTCTACCCACACCTTCACAAAAGCCCGTGATTCGCCACACTCCCAAGACTGGACTATGTATTCCTTCCACCGGCCTTTGCTGCTGCAGAAACGTCTTCCTGGAACACTCTTCCCTTTCTACTTTACCTTTAAGAAATTATGTGGTAAGGTGGTAAGAGCCTAAGGTTTTGGGTCAGGCAGGCTTAGGATCAAAAGCTGTCTCCTCTCTGAGTGCCCTGGGCAAGTTACTTCAGCTCTCTGAGCCCCAGTTCCCCTCTAAGAACAGAGAAAATACTTGCCTTACAATGTTCATAAAGGGCTCGGCTCCAGTGCCTGGTACAGAAGTTCCCCATAACTGAAAACTACTGCTAATATTGGAGCTCTGATGGCACGGTGCCAAAGGCATTTGTAACCAGAAGGTTAGCTAATACTGAAAGCTCAAATGTTCCCTCCTCTGAGAAGGCTTTTCTGCATGGTCTGGTCAGTTGCTCTGTTCTGTGCTTCCACTGCCCATACCCATGGCCAAGAGGATCCACTCTCTGCTGCAGGGCATCTCTGTTCCTTGTATGCAAGCTTTTATCTCCCACCACACCATGTTCCACGAGGCAGAGGCTGTCACTGACGCAGCCCTCTGTTCCCCATAGGACCCACATGCAGGAAGGCCCAGTGAATGATCACTGAGTGATCAGTAAGGTAGGGGTAAGGGGTGGGTGGTGGTCTAGGAATCTTTCACTTTGAGAAATATAGCAATAGGGCCTTGTAGAACACTCTACTTGGAGAAATGACATCACCTGTTCACCAACTGGTCAAATCCTGAGACAGGATGCTGTATACCCCCCTAAAGGAATCTGGTCCAGGTCTTCAGACCCACCTTGGCTGTTTCTGAAACCGTGTTCCAATTTCCCCCACTGAGGGTAAACTTCCCACTACCGATCCGTGTCAGGATTTCCTCTGGTGTGTCACTTGGTCCATTGGCAAATGGAGTGTATCTGGGGAAAACACAGGCAAAGCTTCTGGCCTCAATTCTGTAGGTAGAGGCGGATGGTGTGTATCTCCCACTCAGAGTGGGTACTTTCAAGGGCAATATCTTCCTCCTCCAGGAAGAATTCCTAAAGGCAGGGCCATCTCTCTATCCTCAGACCCTGTGAGGGCAGGGCTGAATCTCTCATATCACACAAGCACGACCACTCTCTGAACACTGGGGCTGGAAGGGGTGAGGGGTTTAGGAGGGGAGCTCAGGCCAGCAGGACACTCACCCAGCCAGCATGGTATACAGCAGAATGCCCAGGCTCCAGATGTCACAGCCTTCATCGTAGCCCTGGCGCTTCAGCACCTGGCAGGGAGGTCAGTCTGAGGGGCAGTGGAAGGTGGGCCCATATGACAAGCATTCTAGCTATGTGCTGGATCCTCCCTTAGTGCCTGAGCCAAGGCCATAGGAGTTGGAGTCCTGGATCACTGTGGGACCTTTGGAAGAGGGCACAAGGGCTCTGGTGCCAGGGGCCCTCACTCCTGTACCTGAGGAGGCCAGGTAACTCACCTCAGGTGCCACAAAGTTGGCAGTGTAGCAAGGTGTCATAAGGAGTCCATTCTCAGCCCGCAGCTGCTTGGCAAAGCCAAAGTCGCAGATGCGCAGGCACTCGGGGTTCCCTGATTCGTCCACATAAAGGATGTTGCTGGGCTTGAGGTCCCTGTGTACAACCTGGGGACAGAGGGCTGGGTCATTCTCAATGTGGGGAGACTACTAGTGGTCCAGGTCACTGCCAGGGATGGGAAAGTTAGGAAGACGGGTCCCCAGAACCCAAAAGGGGGGTAAGGGGCTGAAATAGGAGCCCTTGGTGCTGCTGGCACTGCCCACTTGAAATTTCTATATAGATGTCTACAAGGTACCTGTCTACAACTGAACTCCTAACATTCCTCCTTGAACCTGCTTGTCACACAATCTTACCTAATGGTAACTCTGTCTTTCCTGTTGCTCAGACCAAAATCTTAGGATCTTTTAAGTTTTTATTGCATATGTATAATACAAAGTTGCCATTTTAATACTTTTAACATGTACAATTCAGTGAATTAATTACATTCATCATGCTATTCAACCATTAGTGTCATTTTTTTTAAATTTTTTTTCCCCTTATATCCCTCAATCAACCCATCAGCAAACTGTTGTCTCTACCATTAAAATATATTCAGAGCCCAACCATTTCTCAGCCTCTATCGGCAGCACTCTGAACCCAGATACTGTCATCCCTCCCCTGGATTACTGCAATCAACACCAGGAAGTTTCCACCCTTATCTCCTATAGCTGTTCTCAACAAAGAAGTCAGATCCTGTCACTCTCTGGCTTGAAACCCTCCAAGTCTTCCCCTCTAAAGAGAAAAGCCCTTACAGTGGCCTGTGTAGCCCCACCTGATCTCTCCACAGGTACTTCTTGGGCATCTCTCAATTTCTCCTTTTCTCTCATCTCAATCCATCAGCACCAACTCACGTCTAGTACGCTCTCACTTTTTAGCTTCAAACCCATTCAATGCCTTAGATCAGAGACCACCTTTCGTGCCTAAATGACTGACAGGATGATTAAATCACATCACTCCTTGGTCAAAACCCTTCAGTGGCTCCCTTCTGCTTAAGATAAAGGCCAAAGTCTATCTTAGGATAGGAGGCTCAGCCACTCATTCCAGCCTCACTGCCTACTGCCTCCCTTCAGGTGTCCCGAACTCAGACCACTGGGGACTCTTTTGACCATAACCATACCATGTCTGTTTGGGAAGCACCTGTTCCCCTCCAGCCACCAGCGCAGGGCCTAGCACAGATCGAGTACAAAGTGAACACTCATGCAATGAACCAAGGGATTAGACATCTGGAACACAACACAGAGGCCTTGCAGGTCAGAGGAGCTGAGTCTTGAAGATTACTTAGCTTGGTAGAGATGACCCTTTCACAGCCCCGACTAAGCTCCGACTCCTCCAGCAGTTGCTCATGGGCAGGCAGGCTGGAGGGCAGACATGGCCCAACCCAGTCTACTGCTACAGAGGGAAGGGTGCCAGGCTGACAAGGGGGAAGGCGCTACACTGGCAGCGTGGCCCCAAAGAAGGGCTTTCTGGAGAAGCCCTTCTGGAGGCAACATTTGGCCAGCACCTTGGGCTCTCTCCTTCCTAATATACTTGCATGGCCCAGGCCCCTGGAAATGTGGACTCTTCTCTTTTCCCTGCAGAGGGCACAGTCAAGCTTCTAGAAGTCAGGGATGCTCAGGGTGGCTGAGGATGCCAACTGTTCTGTCCAAGGGATCTTCCCCTCTTACAGAGTACTTTCCTGGTCATGATCTCATTACACTACAGGAAGTGGGTAGGGCAGGGGTTACTAGCTCCACATACAGAGGAGGAAACTGAAGCTCTGAGAGAGAACTGACTTGCTCATGGCAAGTTTTGACCTTAATTCCACAATCTTTCCAGTTTAGTGTGGCACAAATGACATTTTTTGCACACAGATGTGGCAGTTTTCAACCCTATCCTGCCCTAACATAAGAAAATGACACACTCCCATGGGTAACTATGGCTCCTCATGGCAGGTGTAAGAGTATTAGGATGGCAGGGTAAGCACAGCTTGAAAAGCCCCCCAGTGATTCTGACACCTGCCCTCCAGGTGTGTGTGGGGAGGGGGGGAGGGGAGAATATATTCTCACATCTCACCGCACTGAAGAGTGCAACGGGCAGCACAGGGAGTGAAGCCAGGCTCAGTGTGAACCACAGCCAGCAGAGAGCACGGCCCCATCTAAAGGGGACAGACACAACACAGCACCAGCTGACAGACACCACATTGCAACTCACCTAGTTTTTCAAAAGCAGCCAAATTACAAAGTAAGAAAAAACCTTCACCTTGGAGGCCAAACAAAATATACTGCAGTCAAATGTAGCCACTGAGTCAACAACCCATGACTTCTGGTTGTGACTTCAGGCATGGAGTAAGGCAGGTCAGAGGGTGCATCCTGGCTTCACCATTAGTAGCTGTGTGGCCCCTGGGCATTTCACTTCACCTATCTAGCCCTCAGTTTTCTCACTTTTAAAATGGGGCTGATAAGAGCTCAGCCCCCAGGATATCCAAAAGGAAGAGCGTATTAGTTAGAGCACTAGGAATGTTTAGGACAGGGCTTAGGAAATGGCACTGTGTCCCAGCAACTCCAGAACTGCCTGGGGCTGAACCCTCCATCAAGCTGGATGTTAAGACAGAGTGACTGCTTGTTAAGAAGCATTTACAAATGAGAGGACAAGAAATTACTTCTTATCCATGGCAGCATCTAATCACATGCACACATTAAAAGCACAGACTCTGGAGCTAGACTAGCTAAGAGACTTCAGGTAAGTTCCTTAAGCTTCCTCAGAAGGAAAATTGGGCAATCTATTTTTGTAGAGATACCGCCAAGGAAGGGGTTGCTATGAGTCAGATCCCACTTGACGATGGTCAGTTTTTGAGTGAGCCTCAGTTTCCTTATAGGAGCTCTGGTAGCGTAGTGCCTAAGGCACTTGACTGTTACCCAGAAGGCTGGAGGTTCAAACCCACCAGCCACTCCTCGGAAGGAAGGTTGGGCAATCTCCTTCCGTAGTGATACTGCCTCGGAAACCCAAGGAGGGGTCACTATGAGTCAGATCTGACTCGAAGGCACATAACAACAACAGTTTAGAATGGGGATAATGATAGTACCTTTTTCATAGGTTTGTTGGAACAGTTAAATGAGGGAACATGTAAAGTGCTTAGAAAGCTGGCTGGCTCTGCTTTACGGTGTCTGCTGCCAGCAGCAGCAGCAGCTTTGGCATCATCAGCATCATCAGAGGATGTGCATTTAGGACCAGCCAAAAAAAAAAAAAAAAGGTGAAGTTGTTTTATGTGAATCATCTGGTTAAACAGAGAAGCCAAGGCTGACTTTCTCGTGAGTCCTCAACTCAAAGGCTATTCTCAAACTGGTATGATAGGGCCGTAATAGAAACAACCAGGAGGGGCTAGGGGCCCGATAGGCTCCACATATTAAAGAACTCCTGCAAAGTGATACGAAGAAGGCAGACAATCCAATCAAAAATGGACAAGAGACTTGAATAGGCATTTCATAAAGAGGTTGCCCACACAGCCAATAAACACTTGAAGAGCTACTCAGCTTCATTAGTCATCAGGGAAATGCAAATTAAAACCGCAATGAGATACCACTTCACACTTACCAGAATGACTATGATTAAAGATACGGAAAATACCAAGTGCTGGTAAGTACCAGAACCCTCTGATGGTCCTGGTGGGAGTGTACATTGGTAAAACCACATCAGAAAACTGGTTGGCAATATCTACTATAGATGAACATATACATACACTATAACCCAGCAATTAATTCTACTCCTAGAGATACACACAAAATGAAAATGGACACATATTCACCAAAAGACAGGAACAGCACAGCAGCGTCATTTGTAACAGTCACACACTGGTAACAACCCCATGTCCATCGACAACAGAATGGACAATTAATTAAATCATGGCCTGTTTATATAGCAGACTACTACCCAACAACAAAAAGGAATAACTGCAACCACACATGACAATACGGGTGAGTCTGAGAGACAATACTGGGCAACAGAAGCCAGATACAAAAGTCAGCTCAGAATGGTTACCCTTCGGTGGAGGCAGGGACTGCCAGGGGCACAAGAGGACTCTGGAAGAACCGGAAATGCTTCTTCTCTTGATCAGGGTGCTGTTCATATGGGTGTATTCACTTTTTGAAAACTTACTGACTTATACATTGTGATTTGTGTACTTTTCTGTGTTTATACTTCAGTAAAAAGATGATGTTAAATCAAAAAAGGGGCCCCAGTAGTCCCAGCTCCCTGGTTACCCTTCCCAGCTCTCAGCTCTGGTGGGATTCTCAGCTTTTAGACCACAGCTACCACTGATGCCTAATCAGCCCAGAGGATCTCCTTCCAGATACTTAACAGGAAGAGCTTCCCCATTTCCTCATCATCTTCCCCTGGTACTTGGAAAGGGCCAGGGACTTTGCAGACTCACAGACTCTTGGCTTTGGGAATGAGAAAAGTTCTTCCAACAACATACCCTTTACACTGACTGTCCTATCTTGGAGCTTGCAACCCGGGGGAAGGGGCCACCACTTTTGGAGTGGTGCATTACTGCAAGTTCTTCATTGCTCTGAGCCCTCTGTGACCTACCAATAACAATGATTCTAGCTCTTTCCTCTAAACCTTCTTGGGGGTAACTTTAACTAGTATCCGCTTGAGAACAAAACAGGAAAAGGAAACAAACTTACTGTCTGACCTGGACATGTTTAAATGTGAGACTGTTTGCACTGGCCATGGCAAAAACCAAAGCCACTCCAAATATGACCGCTGAAAGCACATGTGGTAACCAAGCGGAAACTCTGCTTCCCAGGTGTTCTTGTCAGAAAAGAATTCCCCTCAATAAATTCGATAGAGTTAGACACTGCCATTTTGCAAAACGTCATGAAATAATTCATTCAGGCAAAGAGCCTCAAAGGATGAAACCGTTATATATGAAAGGCTGCTGAGGGTCCTGTCAGTGAGGGGACCACGCTGTTGCCACTTGATATCACGAATGGGGGCAAAGTGGCACGGTGTGCTCACTGCTGTGATGCACTCACCATGAGAGTGTTCTGAAGCCCTCCTCCCCAAGAAAGGTACAACTAAATCTAATGAAGACTTCAGAGCAACTTGTAGTTGACAGGAAATACACAGGCCATAGAAGAATGATTTAAATGATGCCACAAGGAAGCAAACAGACAAATGCAGAATGGCTACATTCCACAGAACAGCTGGTTTCTTTACCAAGTCACTGGCATTAAAAAAGGAAGTGGGCCTGACATGATGTACACATTTCACAAAACTCATCAAAGTGTATCCACTGGATGCAAATTTTACCCTAGTTTTTTTTTTTTTTTAAAAGACACATAAGGGATATATAACTGAATGAAATATGTGGCCTTGAGGGGTCCTGATTCCAATAAACCAACTGCAAAGACATTTTTGAGACAAAAAGGGAAATGTGTCTATAGACTGGATACTATGTGAAAACGAGTCATGGTTAATTTTGTGAGTTGTTATGAAAGAAAATGTTAACTTTTTTTAGAGTTGTTGACATAGGAGTAAGATGATATAAGATCTGGGACATGCTTTAAAATGCTTCAGTTACAGGCATTTATGGGTCAGGTATCCTCTGCAACTTCCTTTCAAATGCATCAGCAAAATAATATGTATTTATATATAGAAAGAGGAGCTCTGGTAGCATAGTGCCTAAGGCACTTGACTGCTAACCAGAAGGCTGGTGGTTCAAACCCACCAGCCACTCCTCGGAAGGAAGATGGGGCAATCTACTTCCATACTGATACTGCCTCAGAAACCCAAGGAGGGGTCGCTATGAGTCGGGGCTGACTCGATGGCAAATAACAACAACAACAATATAGAAAAACAGAGACACAGAGAGAATGGCAAATGTGGCAGACTTAATATTTCATGAATCTAGAAGATCAAGGGTTTTCATTGTACTATTATTCTTTTAACTTCTCTGGGAAAATACTTCATTAAGCAATGACGACAAAGAAAGAGCACAGGGGAGACTGAAGCAAGTGTGGTAAAAGTCCTGACCATTTTTAAATCTGGGTGATGGTTATATGGGTGTCCATTATACTATTCTTCATGGTGTTGTAGATGTTTAAACATTTCTGTAATAAAATATTTTAGAAAGAGTCACACATGGCAATGGTCCAGTCCTATCTCCCCCACATATCTCTCCCCTTATAGGGTATTTACCACAAGCCTGCATGGATCAGGTGCTTTCCCAGGGGCAGGACCTAGCTCATACTTAACCACCCTGGGCAGTGCCAGCTCTTTTAACATGAGTTTGCAGATGAGGAAATGGCTCAGAGAGGTAAAGTGATTTGCCTAACCTCACACAGGTAAGTGAAGAAGCCAGCGCTTAGATGCAAGCCATCAGATGTCAAAGCCTGCATTCTTTTTTATTTCTCTTACATCTGTTCAATAAATTCTAGACGTAAATTCAGTGACACTGATTACATTCTTAAAGTTGTGCAACCATCCTTGCTATCCCTTTCCAAATTGTCCTAGCACCATTAAACATAAACTCAGTGCCTCCTAAGCAAAAATTTCCCATTTCCTCCCTGCTTTCCACCCCTGGTAACCACTAATAATTTTTGATATATATACATTTGCTTATTTCATATAAGTAACATCATATAGTATCTGTCCTTTTGCTACTGACTAATTTTCTTCAGCATGCTTCAAGGTTCATCCACATCGTGGCATCAAGGCAGAGGCTGCATTCTTAACCCCCATGCTGTCTGACCAGAAGCACCCTAAAACATTTCCTTATACAGAGAGAAACTCCCCTAGCTTTACAGTTTATGGCTTTAATACATTGGACAGGACATCTCTACCTCCTTTCAGTTTTGCTGGCCTTGGCCCAAGGTTGCCCAGCACTTATTTGCCTTGTATAACAAAGGTTAGGAGCTCTGGTGGCTTAGTGGCTAAAGCATTTGACTGCTAACCAGAAGGCTGGCGGTTCAAACCCACCAGCCACTCCTCGGAAGGAAGGTTGGGCAATCTACTTCTTTAGTAATACCATCTCGGAAACCCAAGGAGGGGTCACTATGAGTCAGATCTGACACGAAAGCAGTGTATTAGAGTTAGGGTTAGATAATAAAGGTTAAGTTCTGCCACTCGGACCTACGCCTCTTCTACAGCACCTGCTGTGTTTCCAGCAGCTCGTCCTCCTGCATCCACGTCCTCTGCCCCGGCCGGCAGCAGAATCTAGTCATATTTACCTCCCTGACGCCCCACAGTGACCCCACTGCTCCCTGGCTCAACAGCCATCATGACTCCCTCCATCCAAATCCTCCTGCCTGGCATTCTGTCTCCATTCCTTGTTGGCTGTGTGACTCTGGGCAAGTGACCTCCTATCTCTGAGCCTCAGTCTTCTCACCTGTGAAGTGGGGCAAATAATAGCACCTACCCCATAGGGTTGTTATAAAAATCAGGTCAGATAATGTAGAACTTAGAATAGTGGCTGGCATATGTTGTTGTTGTTATGTGCCGTTGAGTCAGACCCGACTCATAGCAACCCCTCCTTGGGTTTCTGAGGCAGTATCACTATGGAACTAGATTGTCCAACCTTCCTTCCAAGGAGTGGCTCATGGGTTTGAACCGCCAGCCTTCTGGTTAGCAGTCAAGTGCCTTAGGCACTATGCTACCAGAGCTCCCCCTGGCTGGCATATACTTGTTACTTAATAAATGTTCTTTTCCACCATTCGGCTTCACTTATCCCTTCTCTTACCTTCCCTCTCTTCCTTTCTCTTTCCTTCCATTATCCACCTACCCACACGCCTGCCTGCCCATCCATCCACCCTTCTATCCACTCATCATAGCCTCCCTGTTTGGGTGAGGACTCCTGCTGTCTACGCCAGCCCATGGTTCTTATATTCTGCCAATGGCAGATCTCTGGCCACACCCCCCTTGCCTCCAGCCCCTGCCCCAGACCTACCCCCTGCGAGTGCAGATATTCCACGGTCTTGCTGATGGTATGCAAGACGAAGCTGGCCTCTCGCTCTGAGAAGAACTTTTGCCGCAGGATCTTGTCCAGCAGCTCCCCGCCCCGCATCAGCTCTGTCACCAGGTACACGTGTTTGCCATCATCATACACCTGCCAGAGACTTCACAGTCAGGCTCCCTCCTGTCAGAGCAGCAGGATGACCCTGCCCAGGATGCTGTGGCCTTGGGCACATGTTCCGCTCTGTGCTTTAGTGGCCCTGCCAAGGGCTTCCCTATCTGGACCTCTATCCTCCCTGGATGGAGGATGCTGGCACTGACCCCCTATGGGGGAGAAAAGCTCTCAGATAATGCCTAAGTCTGGGCTGGAGGGTCTTGGGGTGTGGCCAGACCAGAGGGAACAAGGGTCCTCCTCCTCCTTTCCATGAATCCTGGGAGGAGGACCAGAGGTCCAAGGAATAGAGTTCTGAGAGAAAATTCTGGGTGACTGAGTGCCCTAGTCCACAGCCCAGTCTCAGGGACCTGCACTCACGTCTTTCAGGGTGATGATGTTGGGATGCTGCCCGTACCGCAGAAGAATCTCAATCTCCTCTGAGGGGTCCCGCTTACTCTTGTCAATGACCTGAGGAGAAGGGAGAGTGCATGTGGCAGTAACAGGACAGATCCCAAAGTCCCTCACTGCCATGAAATCCACACTGTGGTCCTGGGGGTCTTAGCTGCACACTTCACCCACCCTATAGCCTCAGGCACCAATCCTCCCCCTACAGGACCTGACTATACTGGCTTCATCGCCAGCCCCACCCAAGCAACCCAAGGAGGCCCACCTTGACAGCATACTCCATATGGGTGGCCTTGTGCACACAGCGCTTACACACAGAATAGGAGCCCACACCGATCGTCTCCTTTACCACGTAGCCATCACTGAAAACCAGGTTCTTTCCGTGGAGTTGCTGTAGGAGATCGAGAGTTGAGGCTGACCCTGCTCCACAATGCCAGGGGTTATCTCCTAGTATCCAAGGTCTTGGCACAGTGGAGACAACACCAGGCAAGAGCCAGGAGGCCTGAAGCAGAGCACTGGCCATGTGACCTTGGGCAAGGACCTACTCCTCTCTGACCTTCACTTTTCTACTCTATACACTGGGCAGGCTTGCTGACTCCCAGGCAGCCTGGGCTGCAGTCTGTGGTCAGAAGGTGGTGGGTGGTGCCGATAACAGAGCTGCAACACACACATTGAAAGGTCTGTGGTTCTTAGAAGTCTGGGAAAGCCTGGAAAGGGCTCAGCAGCCCTGAGTCAGGTCCCAGCTCTGCCACTTACTGTGGCCCTGGCTAAGTTGCCTCCTCCTTCTAGGGAGTCACAGCCCACCTCATATGGTGTCTCAAGGTTCTGAGGCATTAGGATAGCAAATGATTATCTACGGTGCTTAATATGTGCCACACACTATGCTAAGCCCTTGTCATGGGTGACCACATGTCCTTGTTTGCCTTCGCCAGCCCTAGTTTAGGTCTGTTGTCCCAGCACCCATCTGGTTAACATCTATCCTAGACAAAGATGCCTTGGGTTAGAGAATACATTATACAGTCACCTTAACTTTACACATATTAACTCATATAATCCTCACCACAACCCTATGGAGAAGGCTCCATCATTATGCCCATTTTACAGATGAGAAAAGTGAGGCACCATGAGAGTAAGTGAGTCATCCAGAGTGCCTTACCTTGTAAGCTCTGAACCCAGGCAACAGGCTTCAGAGTCTACACTCTTGTTTCTCAACTCCAAATTTTCCATGGAAAGTGTACAAGTAGGAGACAAGTGTAAGGAGATAAAAGCCCCCTCTCACTCATCCTCCACTCAGTGCTCTGACAGCCTCCCCCTGCCCCACCACCCTGGGCACCCTAGGGACCCCTGGCATTTACCCAGGCCCCGAAATGCCCCTGTCCCTGTGCCAGGAACTTTACAGCTATGTGGTCACCCAGTCCTCAGAACCACAGTGTGAGTTAGACACCACTACCTGGCTTCACAAACAGGGAAATGGGCTCAGAGAGGATAGAGGATCTACTGGCTCCACAGTGGCCTCACGGTGTGGACAGAGCCTGTGTTTTCAGCTGTTCTGGCTTCTAGGTTCTAAGTGGAAGAGGACAACGGAGCAGCAGTCCCCTGCCCCTCACCTGTACCACTGCGTGCAGCGGTGCCTGTGTGGCCCGAGGCTTGCCGTCGTCCTCCATCAGGCCAGTGGCCACGAAGCTGAAACCACGAAACAGCTGATGGGCACCAGCACTGGGGGGGATGCCTGGGGAATCTGTAGGGGCAGGAGGGGGATGGGAGCCTGAGGAGGAGCTCCTATCCTGAGGAACCCAGCAAAGGCCTGTGGTGAACCTTGGGAAGGGCCCATCTGTCCCAGGCCCGTGAGCGTATCTATATAATCTGTACAATGGGACCCGCCCAGTCCCAACACCCTAGGAACGTGAAAGATTCCCACATTCGGCCTCCAGCCCAGGCCCAGACACTTCCTCTCCTGCTGGAGCCTCCTCCCCAGCCTCCTCGCCTCAGGTGTGCTGCTCCTTCAGATCCATCCTTCGTACAGCAGCCAAAGGGACGGTTCCAACCACAAATCTGACCACACTGCCACTCCGCTTGTACCTTCAAATGCTCCTCTCTCTCTGCCTTCAGGATAAAGCCCAATCCTTGGTCTGGCAACTGAGGGCCTTGTCATTTGTCCTCCGCTGATCTCTTAATATCCTCTTCCCCTACCCACAGCTCAGCCATGCTGGACTTCTCAGTTCCTTAAAGGAAGGAGCCTCAGAGCCACTGTACATGCTGTTCCCTCTAACTAGATCACTATTCCTTGTCCATCCCCCAAGGCTTAGCATACACATTTTGTCCTCCGAGAAGCCCTGCCTGATGCCACTCCTCTGGCCCCTCACACCCATGTGGATGTACCTATCACGCTGCCCAGGAGCTGTTCTCACGTCTCTGCCTCCACTACAGCCCAGGCCATAGGAGGGCAGGGCCTGGGTCTGTCCTGTCCACCATCATTCTCCCCACACCTGGCACCCAGGAACAATCCAGTACATATTTTTCAGAGAAATGAATAAAGATGAGACAGATTGCTGGAGAAGTGCTGAGCTCCCTGTCATCACCAATGTGCAAGATGCAGTAAAAAATCAACCCCTCTGCTAAAACCTGCCCCTCCCAGAACTAACACCAACAGCTGGTTAGAGATTAGGATTCATCAAGCTCCCTTCCAGAAGTCCCCTCACTGGCTTTTCACAGCAGCCCCAGGAAATGAGTGGGTCTGCGGCTGCACCCACGTTCCAGATGAGCACACTGCGGCCCAGCAGTTAGACCAGCCCAAGCCAATCCCTGCACTTGCCCCTGACCTGGCGGCACTGCTCTCCAGACTGCCAGACTGTCTCCGCTATGTAGTTTTGCTGGGTCAGATTCTTTAGCCTTGACGTGAGTGTGAGCCTGATGTGTTTGGTCTTCCCAGTGGGCTGAAAGATGCCCAGGGCAGGGGTCCTGACTTTTCCATTGTGGCCTCACCCACCCACTCACGCCTACTCCCTCACTGAGACACAAAGAGGCCCACAGAGCCCGGGAGTGGGAGAGTCTGGCAGAGTGAGACCAGGACAAAGAGTTAGAGTCCCAGGGAGGCAGAAACTCACCCACCTGCCTGCCCACACGCCTGGGCCTGCCAGTCTCTGTGTCCCAAGGTACCCTGAATTCCGTTTCCCTCCTGTACCAGCCCAAGATAGACAAACCTAGATAAGGGACGCACCCTTGGGTGTGCGGGATGTGAACTCTGTGTCAAAGTAGAAGGTATCATCGGGTTGAGCCACAGCTGGCTTAAAGGGTGGCTTGATCTCACGACGGTACAGCTTCTGTAAAGCAGAAGGTCACCTTCTTGGGCACCCCACAGCCTGAGCCCACGCAAGAGGCAGTAACAAGTCTAGGGGCTGTAACACCCAGCAGACAGGGGCATACATGTTGCCCTGCAGGAGGCTAGCCCTTGCCTCTAAGGCCATTCTATCACCTTCTGCTCCAGCATCTAAGGCTCTAGTTTGCAGAGGACCCCTATGCCACCCTTCCTGACCCCACTGAAGCCCTAGTCAGGGCCCTGAGGTAGATGGACACACTCACATTCCAGTCAATGGTGGAGTAGAAAACGTGCCGCTTGATTTCCTCTGCTCCATCAGGGCCAGAACCTGCAAGAGTCCAGATGAGGGTGCTACCCATGCACAGACCCTAGACACCACCCTGCCTGCCGAGTGGCCTCACAGTGGGCTGGAGCAGGGAGGGAGAAAGGGACTGCCCTACCCTACGTCCTCTCAGCCATAGGCCCACGTACTGTTGCCTACTCAGCATTTTCTAGTATCTGGAGCCCTTTATGACCAAGGTCCAATGTATTAATGGGAGAAGGAAAGCCCAGAGAGGTTAGGCAACTTATCCATGGCCACACAGTCAGGAGAGAGGCCAGACTTGTTTCAAGATCTCCAAGGGGTCCCCATACCTCACTCAACCCTGGCCTCATCACTATTGCTCTTATCCCATTGCCCTTTCAACCACGAGATGAGTTCTCACTCCATTAGTCCTCAGGGGCCTAGACTGGGTCTTACAAATCCAGTCACTGTCCAAGTGAACCCAGGAGCCAAGTAACCCAGCAGGTACTGAGCACCTCAAATAAATGAGTCTATAAATGGCATTCACAGGACAAATATTTATGGAGGGCCTACTGTGTGCTAGCCAGTGGGACCCAATACAAGTCTAGAACTGGGACCTGGGCCTTCTGACTCCTGAGCTCACTGTATTTCTCTTGCTACAGAAGCCTTGGCAAAGGAGCTGTGTGGGGGCCTCTGTCCTTGTCCCCAGGGGCAGTGGGGATGACTCAGTTCCTGCCTTTCCCCTACACACACAGGTCACCCCCCTCAACTCCATACATGGAGCCAGAAAGCAGGGTGGCCAGCGGCATTGTCTACCCACACAAAGGACAACAGCCCCTTTCAGGCCCAGATGTGGCCCTGTGGCCAAGGCTGCAGATGTACCCTGCTCCCCACCACCACGTCACCTCCCTTGAGCTGGGGCTGCTTACCGAGCCGGTTGGCAGGATTCCGCTTGAACAGAGCCCGCAGGAGGCTCTGGGCTTCTGTGCTCAGAAACTGGGGCATGCCTAGCTTCGCCCTGAAACAGCCCCCAGGTCTCATGAGGGCTGAGCCCCACCTCAGAGGCCCCATCTCCCCTTTGTCTCTCTGTCCAGGTCATCTTGTCTCCCTCAGTCCAGACAAGCCATCCACTAACTCACCTCCCAAAGGCTTTAGGTCCCCTCCCACAGTCCTGGTGGATGAAAAGGGGGCCCTGGAAAGCATGATGCTTAACTCAGAGGAGGGTATTACTGTGTCCCAACTGGTGTGGCAGGGAGACCTTTAGGTACCAGGGAGGGGCTGGTGCTTACTTCAGAATCATTGTCATGGTATCCTTTCGGTCCTTCCCTTGGAAGGGCAGGGAGCCCGTCAGCATCTCAAACTGCCAAGGATAAGGGTCTATTCAGACTCTGGTCCCGGGTGTCCATTCCCCTGGTCTTTTTCCCCAGTGGTACCCTAGGCCACTCTGCTCCATTTCCAGGGTTTCTGCAGGCCTCTTAGGAGTACCAGCTCATCTAGAGCAAGAAATGCATCTGTCCTTCCCCCTTCTGCCAACCCAGACCACCAGGAGCAGCACTAGAGTCCTTAGGCTGGGGACAGGGCCAGTTTTGGGTTAGGAGCAGGAGGCAGAACAAAGCCTGGGATCTTCCCAAGGAAGGAAACCACAGCTGTGTGGAGGGTGAGGCCAGCTTGAGTGTAAGAGGAGAGGGGAGTGCCTAAGAGATCATTAACTCCCTCGATATATACCTGAGTCCTTCAGCCCTGCCTGGGTACTCACCATCAACACCCCATAGGACCACCAGTCTGCACTGTGGGTGTGGCCCTGGCGGTTGACAACTTCGGGGGCCATGTACTCCACTGTCCCACAGAAGGAGTAGGCCTTCTTCTCATGGTCAATGGCCTCCTTGCTCAAGCCAAAGTCTGTGCCAAGAGGACAAGAGGACACATCTTCAGGGGTCAATGGCTTCCCCACTGACAACCATCATACACCCAACCCCCTTCCCCAGAGGCCTGAGGGCATCACCCCATGACACTCAGGAGGAAGCTGAGGCACAGAGAAGTTAGGCGATTTGCCCAAGGATACACAGCCAACAAAGCAGGGAACTGAGATAAAATCCAGGGCATTCCAAGTCTGAGACTTAGGCTCGTGAGCACTTCCCAGTGCCTGGCACAGCCTCTCAGAAGGGATGAGCCCCTTGCACTCAGCCCAGATCCACCAGGAGTCCACTCTGTCCTCCCCCTGGGGCCTAAGGAGACCGGCAACCTCCACTCACCAGTTAGTTTGATGTGGCCTTCTTCATCCAGAAGGATGCTGTAATGGAGAGATGGGAGTCAGGACCCCCAGCTGCGGCACCTTAGCAGGTTGTGGGAACACCATGGGGGCTATAGGGGATAGGCTGGCCCAGAGAAAATGCCCCACTAAGATCTGTCTGATGAATGGGTAGGTGGAGCAGAAGGGATGGTGGCCGCAGGCTCACCTAGTTGAGGACTACATAATCAATCGCGCTGCCAACATCAGGCACTATACAGGTGTGTTACCAACCTTTTTGTGCTAGTCCTTCAAACAACTGTATAAGGTAGTTACTATTATGGTCCCATTTTAATGATGGGAAAACTAAGGCTCAGGGAGGCTAAGGAACTCCTGACAGTCACAGAGCTGGTAGGTGGTAGAGATAGGATTTTAATTCAGGTCTGCCTAACTCTAAAGCCAGATCTCATTTTACTTTACCATCTGCCCCTGGCTCCCAAGTTTTCATCCAAGGGTATTCAGATGTTAAGAAAAATTCTAGAAAGGGCCATTTCTAACCAAAGGCATGAACTTTAATAGCAGCATTTCAAACATCACACTAGATTAATGAAAAAAAAAAAAAAAAAAGGAGGCAGCACCCCTGTATGGATGGTGCCGGCCACTTTATAACAGCAGCACTAGTGATTATGTAGCCGCACCCCTCAAAGTGAACGTGCTGCCACCACTCTATTCCACTCACCCACTCATCAGATAGCCCAAAGGTGGCGGGATGCTCTTGGAGAAAGACACAGCTACTTTCAGAGTGGCCTAGTCCTAGAAGAAGCCCCAGGCCCTGACTGGGTACCCTCCAGGGAGAGTGGGGCTGGGGGCATCACTCACTTCTCAGGCTTTAGGTCTCTGTAGATGATGCCCAGGCTGTGCAGGTGGTCCAGCCCCAAAGCCAGCTCAGCCAGGTAGAACTTCACATCCTCCTCCGTGAACATAACCTGAAACAGGCGGCGGGGGCTTCAGCTGGAATTTCCTCTTCCTCAGAAGATGAGACACTGAGCAGTCAGCAACTTCCTGTCCTGAGGGTCCACTTTGGGGAGGACCCTTGGGGAGCTCAGTGCTGTATCTCCTCCTCTTTATAAAGGGGCTTTGAAGTTTGAAATGACTATACAAGTCACTCCTTGTGACACTGCTTGGAATAGCAAAAGGTGGCAACAGCCCAAGGGCCCAGCAGAAGACTGGAATAAACCATGTCTTCCTCATATAACAGGGCACTACACAACCATAAACTAGAACAAGGACTTTCTCCTTGTTCTGATATGGAACGATCTCCAAGATACACTGTCAAGTGGAAAAAATAAGGTACAGAACAGTGTACACAGAATGATGTTTTTTGTGTAAGACAGTAGGGGTTGGGATTCAGAACATATATCAGATCTGTTTGTGTTTGCCAAAGAAACATGGGAAGGTTAAACAAGAAACCAATAAAACTGTTTACCTATGGGGGGTAGAGGGGACTTGGGTAGGAGCAAGACTTCTCGATGAGTATTTTTCTTTTGAATCATGTAAATGTATTACCTATTCAAGCATTAAAATAAAATTTTAAAAATTAAAAAAAAAAAAAAAAAAACCAACGTTGGCTGTCTTTAAAGTTTGAGTTGCATTAACAGTCCTATTTTTATATCTGGTTCAAATCCTTTTGGTTAACAAGTGGGATAAGAACGTTAGAGCTTCTAGCTTTCTGGGTGGATTTGGGCTTCTCTATCCTCACACAGCCCTAGGAAAATGGAGGTGGAGAGAGGATAGTACTCTCAGCTCCCTGGAGTCAGGGCAGCATCAAAATCTAGGGCCTGACTCTCCATAGCCCATCTCAGGGAAACTCTCAGAGACTTTGCCAGGGCTCTGTTCCAGGGTGGGTGATGTTTTCAGGGTAAGGGGCTGTTAGGCAGGCCTGGATGGTCTCAGGTCCTGGCCACTGGCAGGGCCCTGGGATGGCAGGCTTCTTTTTCCCCCAGCTCCATCCTAGGGTCCCCTGGCAGTGGGATGTTGGCTCACCTCCTTCGAGAGCCGTGTGAAGAGGTCCCCGCCACGCAGGAAGTCCAGAATGAGATAGAGCTTGCCCTCGGTCTGGAAGGCTGGGGAGAGGGGAAAGGGCAATGGTGGAGCCAGCCAGGCCTGAGAACCTACTCCCTCTCCCTGCTCCCTGCTCTCTTGGCTGCCTGATGGGAGGTGACACAAGATACAGGGAGGGCAGCAGCCCAGAGGGCAGGGTGAAGGCTTGTGGGCAGGGCAGGAGGGGTCTGTGGTCTCACCATAGTGCAGCTTCACCACAAATGGGTGGTTGACATCAGCCAGGATGTCTCTCTCCATCTTGGTCCGGACACGGTCACGCACTGGCCAGAGGAGAAAAGTGGTCATGCTAGAGCCCTCCCAAGAATCCAACTACCCAACAGAGCCATTCCCCAAACTCTGGCTAAGAAGGGCCCTCCTTTCTACTTGTTACTTCAGGTCTGAGCTTCCAGAACTCTCGCACCCAGGGCTTTGTGGACACTTTAGGGACACTCAATTTTCGGGTTTCTTCCTTCTCAGTCTGTTTTTGGCCCCTTGGCCTGCTCCTTGCCCTGACCTCTCACGCAGTGCCTAAGGGTGGGCCCTTGGCCCTCTGCTTATCTCTAGCCCTCTGTCCCACCACACCCCATCAAGGGCCTTCAAATCAGACTGTATGAGCAACTGTTTTCCATATGCCAAGCTCTCTGACCTTCAGGCCTTTGCCCCTGCAGCTCCCTGTATTAGGCCCCTCTTCATCTGGCATAAAAAACCCCCAAATTCCTGTCCACAGGCTGTGAAAGCCCCCTGGGGAGCTGGTTAGGAATGTCGATTCCTAGAGCCTAAAGTCTAGATTCATGGATCTGGGTGGGCACCTCCAATACATTTTTTTTTTTTTTTTAAAGAACAAAAGTTCCCAGGCAATTCTGATCCCCAGTAGGTTAGGACCATTGAATGTGTCTCCTTCTTGGACTCGCCTTCTCCAGGAAGCCTTTCTTAACCTCCTGAGCTGGGTCAGTGTTTCCCCCTTCATTGCACTTTTACCTCCTATTGTCATTTCTATCTCCTTCACTAGACATGACAGGGACCATTCTGGAGATGACTCTTCTAACCACTGGGTTCTAAAAACATCTTGTGTTTTCCTGCCTCTGCTTCTGCTCAGGCTGCTTCTCTTCCCTGGATGCCATTCCTCTACCATTTTCTGTCTGGAGGACTCCTAACTTCCATTTCAAGACACAGCTCAAATGGACACTCCTCAGGTGTCCCCTTGACCTCTGAGCCTTCCCTCTCTAGGGTGCAGCTCTGGAGGTTCTCCTGTGGGCCTCTCCCATCCCCTGGGACATGCAAACTGGTGTCACAGCACTGACTACAGCCTTCCAGGGTCTGTTTAGTTTCTCCCCACTAGCCTAGGAGGCCTTCTCTGGCAGGGACCAAGTCTTTTCATCTTTCTCTGTCCCTCTGGTTCCTGGTATGGATGACTCTTCAGGCTGGTCCAGAGGTACCAGAGCTACCATCACCCCAGATAGCCCTTCATGGACCACAAGACCATAATATCTCTAGGGCCCCCTAGTGCCCCCACTTCTCCTGATCTGTGGCCACACTGGTTCCCAAGCCAATCAAAGCCCAAAGTTCTCTACCAATCATCCTCATACCCCTTGTAAGTGCTCAGAATGCCAGACCTTGGCTCATGCTCCCTCTGAACCTCCGTGCCATCCATCTCCAAGGCTCTGCCTTGACCTCACTCTCCCCTGGCCTGGTCCAGCTGGCTCCCTGGGTTCCTGACTTTTCTCTCATGCCCTTCTCCACCCTGAGCAATGAGGCCAGAGAGGTTCCTCCTGACTTTGCATCATGAAGCAACTTTACTGACAGCTAGAACACCTCTGCCCAACCAACCTGATGTCTCATATTTGAGGGCCACCCAGCCCACAACAAATACACTGAATTTGTCCCACTACTGCCTTCTAGGCATTCATCTTCAGCCTCAGTCATTGGCACTTGGCTTTGGGAGTGAAGGGGGGATGAGATGGAGGGGTAGGATTAATATTTTAAAGTCCTGCCTTCTCAGTGGGCCTTGTCTTCCCATCAAGTGGGATGGGATGGGGCCAATTTCTCCTCCTTCAGACTAGGTGCTCCTTAGAACAGAGCTACATCCCCCATCTTACCCAAGTCCTTAAGGACTAGGCCGTCTCTGTCAACCCTGCACCCACCCTGGGCTCACACAGGGAGCGACTTCTTACTCACCTTTCAGGGTTGCCTTCTTCAGCACCTTCATGGCATACAGATGCCCATTGTCAGGCCGGGTGACCTTCCGCACCAGGAAGACCTGGGAATGCAGCCAGGAAAAAGCCCATCAACCTTTGGCCCCAATTCCTTGAGGCCCAAAGTGACCCTCATCTCTGTGATCCCAGAAATGATTCCTCATCCACTGGGCCCTGAGGTGACCTCCCACCTCCCACCTCTGAATGGCCAATGCTACCCTTTCAGCTATAGGCTCAGAACTCACTTTGCCAAAGGATCCCTGGCCCAGAACCTTAAGGAGCTCAAAATGGGATGGGTCAGCCTTCTCAGAGCCAGCCTTGACGTGGTGCGTGATGGAGATCTCCTTGAGAATGCCTTCATCCTGGTGGGGAGACAAGGGTCAGTGGGTGTGGTGGGCCCTACCCAGGGCAGTACAGGACATGTCCCCCAAATCCAAGTCCATTCCCACCAGATTTCAGCAGACAGGACCTCACAGGCTCAACCAGATAGCTACCCTAACAGGGCCAGCCTCCAGCTCATCAATACAAAAGGGCCTCCAAGGCCAGGGAGGGTCAAACCACCAAGGCGCTCCTATTCTCCTGCTGCTCTGGCCTGGGATGCCCAGGCATGGCCAGGAGGGAATCTCCCAACCCCAAGCTCTGGCTGAGGCCCATAGGCCTGACCCAGCCCTCCCTGTGGGCTCCCCTCCCCCTGCTGCAAAGGTTTTTTGTATTACCACAATAGGAAGTAGGGTTTGTTCTCATACTAGAGAGGTAGAGCTGAGCCTTTGTTCCTGATCAAGACAGGAAAGGAGGATTCCTCTGGCCAATAGGGCAGTGCTAAGGTACACAGAGACCTAAGAGTCACCTGGGATCTCCTCAACAACCCAGTAAGGGCCAGCCTGGGATGGTTGGGAATTAAGGCCTGATTCAATTCCCTCCTTCCCAAATTTCCCTCATACAAGCCTATGAGAAGCCTCTTGCCAAGTCCTGGTTGTTCTAGAACCCTCTGCCTTCCCTCCAACCACCAGCATTGCCTTAGAGCTCTGAAGTGCCTCCCTACTGCCCCAGGAAGCAACTCTGGACAGGGTCCAGTCATCCCACAAGGCCAGGTCCGGGCCAGAATGGTACAAAGCCAGTTTAGATCAAACTGTCTGCCCAGGCACCTGCTCCCAGGGCCAGAGGGAGGGCAGGACCTGACTTCTAGGCACACTCACCGAGTCCCGCCAGGGGCCAGAGCCAGGACCTGGGGCAGGCAGCGAGGTCTGGCTGATCCTGGGCCGCTGCTTCCTGGGCAGCCAGGGGAGCAGGGCCCAAAGCCGCAGACGAGGCGGCTTGGGATCCTGCTCCATCCGCCCGGCAGGGCCGTGGCACCATGGCAGGAGCAGGCAGCGTCCAGGGCTGCCGCGGAGGTGGCAAGGCCCAAGGCGGATGTGAGGGGTGAGGGCGGGGGTTGGGCCCGGCCTAGGACCGCCAATCACTCAGGGCCTGTGGTTTCCCAGCTCCAGGCCTACACCCTCACCATGTTCCCTTCTTCCCCGCCCCACTCCCCAGTGCCTGAGGGCTGCCCTCTGGCCCTCCCCCCAGCCTCCCTGTGGGGCCTGCAAAGGGAGAGCCCCATGCCAACTCAGCTGCTGAGAACTAGATAGGTGCTCATCAGGCACTCATCAGGTGGAGACGGAGACAGGCACTCAACAGAGAGGCACATGGGGACATGTGATAAAGGGACATGTGATAAAGATCAAGGGAGACACCAACAGGCAGAGGCAGGCACCCAAGAGGCGGAGATAGATTCAACTGTCAGAGCAGGAGGGAACACATACCAACAGGCAGAGATGGACCTGGACACGTACCCAACAGGCAGAGACAGAAGGGGCATGTGCAGATGCAGATGGGGACACATGCCCAACAGGCAGAGGCATGTGGAGACAGATAGGAACATGGACCCAAGAAGAGGAGATGGACGGGGATTCACACCCAATAGGCAAAGGCAGATGGAGACTTGTACCCAACAGACGAAGGTGGACAGGGACTTGTACCCAACAGGCAGAGCAGATGGGGACTTACATCTAACAGGCAAAGACATGTCAACAAGTACCCAACAGAAACAGATGGGGACATGTACCCAACAGGTCAAGACAAGTGGAGATAGAGATAGGAACCCAATAGCAGAGGCAGGTGGGTTGCAGACAGAGACAGCCTCAGAATCCGTGAGACCCAGGCAGATGCCCACAGCAGTTGGAATCTGACAGCTAGCAGACAGGTAGCAGGGCAGGGGTCCCCAGGAAAGGGGGTTAGACCCTAGGCGAGAAGGTGGAACTCTGGGTTCTTGTTGGTCTGCCTGGAGTCAGGGAGGATGAAGAGATATAACTGCAAATCCCTAGAACTCAGGAGAGCAGCCCAGCATTCACGGCAGACTCATCCTTGAGGTTTTCCACTTCCTCAGATTTTCTTCCCACACCAGGGCCTGAGGAGGTCCAGGGCTAAGATGGCTATGAGGCCATCTCACGAACAGCATCTGATGACTTTGACTCTGGCCCAAAACATCCCAAAAACCATTATCTCCATTTTGAGAACAAGAAACTGAGACTCAGAGAAGGGCAGTAACTCATCCAGGCTCAAAACAAGCCAGGTGGCAAAGTCAGATTGAACCAAGTCCCACCCCTGGTTACTGCCTGGCCTTGAGTGCCAGGAAAGGGTGAGCAGGTAAGTCAGCCACAGTTACTTCCTGCCCACCCCAGCCTGCCCCACTCTCAGCACTAGGGTCAGCCTGGGGACTTCCCACTCCAGGTCTTGACCCTTAGAGACACAACACAGCCCCATCTTCAGAAAACTCTCCCTGACAGATGAAGGAATGGGTATAGCAGCCACAGAAAGTTGCAGGCTAATTGGGTCCCTGAATGTAACCCCCTGGAGGGACTGGCAGAAAGTGTGACTCAGAGAGGGCAAAGAATAGGCCAAGGAAACACAGCAATCCCTGCCCACACTATTCTGAGATCTGAGCCTCTACCTGGTCTGTCTGGCTCTGATTTAGAACACTCCCTGGGGACAGAGGCAGCCACCCGGAAACCCCAGGGGACAGAGCCACCCCTAAACCCATTCCTTGCCCAGAGTTGTAGTGACAGACATCGTTGGAGGCAGGTCACCTCTCTGCTCACCTTTCTGTGACAGGAGACTGAGTCTCCCTCACCCCTGGGGTAGTCTGCCGGGGTCTGCATGGTGGGGCTCAAGCCGGTGACCAGAGGGCCCTGTTACTCTCCTTACTTCTGCTTTTTTCAGCCTTCCTAGCCCAGAAGGCAGGGTCCCTGGCCCCCCTCCTTCTCACTTCCCCCTCTGCAGGGAGGAGGGACAGAAGATGGGTCAGGCTCTCTGCTGAGGAGGGGATACTGCAGACCCCAAGCCCAAGGCCCCAAAGAGGACTCAGGGAGATACCCCTCTTGTTTCTCCTGACCCTAAGAAGGGAGAGACAGGAACAGAGACAGAAGTCACACAGAGATGAGGCAGGGACACAGTGGACATCTCAACTCCCACCTGAGGGAGGTCTGAATGAATGGGGACAGAAATCAGCAAGGCCATAGCCTCAAAGTGCTCAGCCCAGAGCTCAGTTGGTCCAACTCTCCAGGACACTCCCTTGTAGAAACCTTTCCATGGCTAGGGCCACCCAAAACGCCAGCCCACAGAGAAGGTACCATACCCAGCCCTGCCCCTGCTCAGAGGCCCCATACTCCAAGCCCTGTCCTAAAGAAGCCTTCTTTAGGAGGCCATCCCTAAACCCAATGGGGCAGAAGGCCCAAGACAAGGACCCTGGCTGCCCAGGAGGAACAGGATGGATGGAGGAGCAGGTGGCTGCTGGGCAGGGGTTGACCAGGCCCCGCCTTTTTCATGGGGCCCCACCTCCTCACTCACACCAGTACACCCACAGGAACTGATATGCACACAAAGACACACTCAGGCTGGTCGGAAACTATTTCCACAGACATCCACCATGTGGAAATCCACGCCCCCAAGTACACACAAACTTCCCCTTCCTGGTCCTTGCAGGGCCTCCAATAACAGTCTTTGATGGGTGGTGCCCTGTTGGGGGTTGTGAAAGATGCTCTGTTTAACTGAAGCTTCTCACTGCCACCCAAATTTCTCAGGCAGGGGCTTGGAGGCCAGGGTGGCCTTGGGAAGCCCAGAGCATTCTGGTCCAGCAGCAGAGGAGGGGTCATTGTCAGCATGGCCCCTCCCCAGACCCATCCCCCAGAAGCAGAGGAAGAACCTCTATGGCCAACAGGGTACAGGAACAGGCAACAGGAAGGAAATGGTCTCAGAACTGCCTTCACAGAAGGGTGTTTGGAGGGGCTATGTGGCCTCTAGCGACAGAAGCAGGAGGCAGGCACCAGCTTACATCCCCTTGGTCCCTGCCCTTTTCTCCTCCTATAGATACTTCCTCTTTATTTACTTCCTCCCACATAACAGCTGGGAGAGAAGCCCAGAGCCCCGCAGCCTGATCCCTGGAATCCAAGACCCCCACCCTGGGCCTCCCTCTGCCAGCTATAGCTCAAGCCCATCTGCCCATCCCTAGCCCTAATGGACACCAATAGCCCCTTCCCCAGCTTGTAGCATCTGCAAGACCTCCAGGCATTACCCCCTCTGGTAGGATAGGTGCCCCCAGATGCATCTCCCAATATGCCTCTGAGGAGGTAAGGAGGGGTCTCTAGTTTCCAAGCCTCTTTCAGGGGAGCTAGCCTCAGGCACTATGCCAGAACCTGCATACAGTAATGATGGGAACTGTACCTCCTATTAACTGAGCTCAGGTAGTATAGTGGTTAAGGCATTCAGCTGCTAACCAAAAGGTCAGCAGCTTGAACCCACCAGCAGCTCCACAGGAGAAAGATGAGGCAGTTTGCTTCTGTAAAGATTTACAGCCTTGGAAACCCTATAGGGGCCGTTCTACTCTGTCCTTCAGGGTCACTGTAAGTTGGAATAGACTCGATAGCAGTGGGTTTGGTTACCTAGGCATTGATTGAGCATTTGTTACACACAACCATGCTTCCCTCAACCTTTGCTGATGTGGATTCTGCTAGCCCCTAGCACTGGAGCCATCCTCATTTCAAACATGAGGACGCTAGACTCAGAGAGACAGCGACTTGCCCAAGGCAACATGGCTAGAGAGGGATAGCACTAAAAGGAAAGGCAAAGTCTGTTTGCTTCCAAAGGCCCTACTTTTTTTTTTTTTTTTCCTTTTTATTGTGATTTGGGTGAAAACTTACAGAGCAAATACACTTTCCATACAGCGGTTCACATACACTTTATCTCATGACATTGACCACAATTTACCACAATGCAACATCTCCCCTCCTACTTCCTCTCGATAGTTACCTCTTCCCTGTGTCCATCCCTCCACGCACTCCTGCCCCCTGAGCTGTCTCCCTGTGCATAAGCAGCCCTTCTTTCTCCCATGATTGTTTTCTCCAAGGAGTGTATCTACCTCAGATAAATGTTCAACTCATATGCCTGTCTATTGTTTGGCTGGAAGCCACAGGTGTGCATTGAATTCCAGACCTGAAGGGCAGCTAGTGGCCATAGTTTCAGTGGTTCCACCAGGCTCTATTGGGCCAGCAAACCTGGTCACCCCAAAGGCCCTACTTTTACGCAGCCCTGCTTTTAAGCATTTCATTGTCACCTCCCGGCAAGGCTGGCCTGCCTTCTCTCTGCACATCACTCATACTACTGGCCTTTACTTAGTCTCAGGCCACAGCCGGACACCAGGAGGTACAGAGGTTAAGGCAGACCCTCAGAGAAACCGAAAATAAATACCAGTTGCTTTCAAGACAATTCTGACTCATGGCAACCCATGTGTGTCAGAGTAGAACTGTGCTCCATGGGGGCTTGATTTTCAAAAGTAAATCACCAGGTCTTTCTTCTGAGGTGTCTCTGGGTGGACTTGAACCATCAATCTTGATTTTAGTTAGCAGCCAAGCATGTTAACCATTTATACCACCCAGGGAGGGCCTCCCCAAAAATAAACACATGATAATAAAACACAGGCAGCTTCTATGACAGAGCTGCAATCAAGGTGTTGTAGGTGCCCAGAGGAACACCTGTGGGCGAGTTCCAAAAGACCTTCCAGAGAGGGGCAGTCCAGGTGCGTCCTGAGGATGGACAGGCGTTGGCCAGGAAGGAAGATACTCCAGGAAGAAAGACCAGCAGGCTTGAGGTCATGAGTGAAGGGTGGCAAGTCAAGAAGAGCTCCAGGCAAATCTCTCTGCCTATCTGAGCCTCAGTTTCCTCCTCTGTAAAACAGAGGTTAAAAGTACTAGTTTTACCCACAGAAGGATATTTCTAGAAGCAAATTGGGCCAAAGAGACAAAAGAGACATTGTCAACAGATCTCTCCCTGGTTTAGTTGGGCAATCTTCCTGTGGGGTCACTCCTGGGCAGGCCGCAGGGTCAGATCTCAGCCACGTGGTCCCAGGTGCTAGGAAGGTAGGCTGGGCCTGCCCTGGCCAGCCCAGGGAAGTTCCCCCAACACCTGAAGCTGCCTGAGGCTCCCCGAAGTCCACAGTCACATCCTGCCTGAGCTCAGGCCAGGGGAGCATGAGGGATCCGGGAGGGATCAGGGTTTCATAAACAGGAAGAGAGGAGGGGAAGGGGGGAGACGCTCAGCTCTCAAAATAGACCTGCAGGCGCTTCAAAGGGGTCCAGCTCCGGAGACAGCCGGGGGAGGGGGCCTGGGATGCCCAGTCCACCTCCAGGAAGAAGAGGGAGGGTGAATGGAGCCCCAGGGTGCCTGAGGATATCAGGTGTGCCCAGGGTGCTGAAGGGATCCAGGGAACTCCTATGCTGGACCTGCTGTCCACAATATTGCTGCTAAACCCCAAATGAATATACAAGCATTAAACACCTGCATTGCACCACAACTGCTGTTGCATGCTTTCTTTTACATGCATCCCATTCTTTCCTAAGTTGGCCTTGAGAGCTGGGCTCTAGTCTCCTTTTGTAAGAAGGGAATTTGAGTTTCAGCAGGGCCAGCCACTCACCAAAGATCACAAAGCAAACAAGAAGTGGGGGTAGGATTTGAACTCAGGATACCTGACTCCCTAGTCCTTTCTCTGTCTCTCTTCCACCCTGAGGCCCCACATCCTTCTCCCACTGCCCAAATTCTACCTGTCTGCTGAGGCCCAGTAAATGCCAACTCAGCAGGGAAGGTGGCACAATGTCCCCTAGCCCAACCCAATTCTTCCTCCTCTGCTAAACATAGCAGTGACCATCTGTTAGGCCACACTCAGCCCCATGTTCAGATGAGGCTGACTGGGTTCCCTGCGACTTGTTTGTCTCACCAACCCACTGAGAGATGTGTGCACCTGGAAGGTGACACACCTCCATCTTTGATCCCAGAGCTCAGCATGGAATGGAGGTGCTATGTTTCCACAGCCATGTTCTTCCTGAATAGAGCACCCACCACACAGCTTTCCTGTCTCCACCTTCTCCCCAAGACTGAGAGTTGTCTGAGAGTAAGAGCTGTTGATTTCATTCTGGGGCCCCCTAGTGCCACAGCAGGGAGCACCGAATGTCTGATGAAGCAAAGGATAAACTGGCTGGCTGCCAGCTCTGTCCCCTGCACAAAGTGATGAGGTCCCAACCACAGGCTGAACACCCTCAGGGATGTCAAGCCCAGAACTGAGCACTGAGGATACCAATGGCTGGGGTAAGAGAGGAGACAGATGAGCAGGTACCCAGAATTGATGGCACTTGGGGTCACAGGGACCAATGCTGCTCCTTTCTAGCACTCAGGGTTCCCTGGGCTGGGAGGGGGCTCTGAGGTCAAGCAGACCTGTGGTCAAATCCTGACTCCATCATCCAATAGCTATGTGACCTTGGTCTCAACTTTATCTGTAAAATGGAGAAAAGAGTGATCTCTAGCCTTGGGGTAAAGAGCTCTGTGGCACAACAGTTGAGCAGTCAGCTGCTAATGGAAAGGCTGGCAGTTCAAACCCACCCAGCCACTCTGCAGGAGAAAGGCCTAGATATCTGCTTCTGTAAAGATTATGGCCTAGAAGCCCCTGGGGCAGTTCTGTTCTGTCACAGGGGTCACTATGAGTTGAAACAGGCTCAACAGCACCTGACACCTGACAACAACAACTCCTCTGAGGTTGGGAGAATTAAATGCAGAGCTCCTGGGTGGTGTCAGGCCTGGGTTAAGCTTCTTCTCTTCTTAATGTGGCATTCAAGGCACCTCACAGACAGCATCTCCTGTGGCTCACAGCTAGTTCGTGAACTGGTGTGGTCTTTCCCAGAAAAGAGACAAGGGACAAGAGACCAACCCTACGTCACAAAACTATCACCCAACCTCAGGAGCTTTTGGCAACATACAAAACCAGCAACAAGAGCTGAGGGACTGAAGGGAAAAGGACAGAGGAAAAAGAAGTAGCAGGGTTGAGGAACTAGCCTCAGGCTGGGAATGGAGAGCCCTGAGGAACGGCTGGGCCATGTTTAGACTTCAGAAGTCACTAGATCCCTCCCAGCACCACTGGGCCCAGATGCTTCCAGACCCTCATCAGGCCCAGCTCTTCCACGGCAAGAGTGCAGATTCCACCTGAGCCTCTCCTATCACTTAGGCCCTGCCCCTCCACCCTCACCCTGAGCATGAGCAGAATGAGCAACTAGATTGAGGAAGTGTCTTGGCCTGGTTGATAAGTAACCAGCCTGAATTCTGCTCCTGACCCTTTCTGGCCTGCACTTTCCTTACCTACAAATACAAAGTCGGAGTAAGTGATCTCTCTGTGTAGGAGCTGCCATAAGGATTAGGTATGAGATCAGAAAAGGAAAGCTGAACTGGGCAGACAACTGAGAAGCCAAGACATGCCAGGCAGGTGGGACAAGGGCAGCATCTCTCCGAGGCCCTGCAAACACTGTCCTCTCACCCAGTCCCTGACCTGGGGCACTGGCCCTCATCCTCACCATGGATGGCTGAAGTCCAGCTTCTTCCCCTGAGGCCTGGCCATTCTGGAAAAGAGAAGGGAAACATGGTCAGAATTTACCAGCTTGGAACAGAGCAGAGAGACCCCATGTGGCACCCCACCCCTGGCAGCTCCCAATGGCCAGGGAGGCCTTGGAGGTGGGGACAGGCGTTCTGATTAGATGTCCCCTCCACTTCCACGTTCACGGGGGGTGGAAGCAGAGGTGAGCATGAGTCATCCTACAACAGCCCCTCACAACTCAGACACAGAAATCCCCAGGGGCCCATACTCCTTCTCTCATGCTCTTGGCCCAGCAAACACCTCATCTTTGAAGACCATGCTTAAACATCTCCTCCTCCCAGTGAGAGGGAAAAGTCATATGTGACTCCGAGCTGTTCCAGAGACAAACTGTGGCCTTGTGCAAACTATTCAACCACAAGAGGCCTCAGTTTCCCAGTCGTCATATAGAAGTAAGTACAGCCCTATCCCCGAGATGCTGCAAGGGATGAAGGAGACAAAGTATGAAGAAGTGTCCAGCCCAGAGATGGTGGCTATTCTTGCCCTGTCCCACTCTGGGACCCTCCACTGCTACTGTCAGATAGAATCACTGTTGTCCCCACTACGCTCCTCGATCCTTCACTGTACCACATGTGACACTGCAGGGACTATTTACTTACAGGACCGTCCTTCCCAATAAATGGGAGTCCTAGGAGATGAGAGATTAGAGCGTGGTGCTAACAGCTGCTCTCTTCAGAGCTGCTGCCACATGCCAGGCACTGGACTTGGAGCCTCACACCTGTGGTACCACTTAAAACTCATGACAGCCCTGGGAGGTAGGCCCCATCTCCACTTGACAGAGGCAGAAACCGAGGCTCAGAAGGGCCTAGTGGTGTGCCTAAGGTACACAACTTAAGTAAAGATTTAAAATCTGGTCTCTTTGGTACCCAGGAGGTGCTCAAAATAGATCTGCTCGAGCCCTGGGTGGTCCAATTGTTACTATGCTCAGTTGCTAACCAAAAGGTTGGAGGTTCAAGTCCATCCAGAGGTACCCTGGAAGAAAGGTCTGGTGATCTACTTCCAAAAAATTGACCATGGAGATAGAGTGGAAGAACAATGTGGAATAAAACTCAAAATCATGGGGGGGGGAGGGTAAAAAAAGGGGGGGGGGACCAGGTTTGCTGGTCTGATAGAGCCTGGTGAAACCCCCAAGACTATGGCCCCTAGCTGCCCTTCAGGTCTGGAATTGAACCCACTCCTGTGGCTTCCAGCCAAACAAAAGACAGGCATATGAGTTGATCATTTACATCAGGTAGCTATACTCCTTGCAGAGATCAATCATGGGAGAAAGAAGAGCTGTGTATGAACAGGAAGACAGGTGGGGGGCAAGACTGAATGGGAGGGAAGGACACAGGGAAGAGGTGGCTATGGGAAGTGGGAGGGGAGCTGTGGCATTGTGGGAGACTGCAATGTATGTCATGAGACAAACTGTATGGGAACTGCTGTATGGAAGATGAATTTGCTCTGTAACCTTTCACCCAAATCAAAATAAAACTGAAAAAAAAAAAAAAAAAACCCAAAAAAACAGAAACTGGCCACTGGAAAGCTTGACACAGGTGGAGTTGCCATGAGTTGGAAACTGACTTAGTGGCAACTGGTAAATGTCAGGAGAAGGAGAGAAAATGAACATGATTTGGAGAGGGTGAGAGTTTAAAGAAAAAAGATCTGCTGGAAAGCAGTACACACTCCAGGCAGGGGAATTTCCTTCAGGCAGAAGCAAGCCCTGGAGCCCACCCATGCTTCTTCCTGTCTCCAGACTTTGCCCTCCAGTGAGTATTCTATACCCGGTACCTAAACCTGCCCATCCCTTTCCTGAGTGATGTGAGGTGCGTAACCTACCCTCTCTGGGCCTTAGGAAGCTAAAAGGAGCTATCCCCATCCCTCCTGGCATACCAAGAGTCTGGTGAGGCAGACATGAGGTTCCCATGGGCTGGCAACCCCCAGCCTGGGGCAGATCAGGACTTTGGAGCCAGGATCTGGGTCCATAGGGCAGCTGTATCCTTGCTTGGCAGCAGCAGACACAGCTGTGCTCTGTCCATTACATAATCTCCTTGCCCCTGGCATAGCTCCCCTGCTACTCCCAGGACATCCTGCCCCTTGAGCCCCCTTAATGCCTCCTAATCCTTCTCAGGGGGCAAGTGTTCTGCAGGCTTCCTCCACACACACACACACACACACACACACACCATCATCTCTCAGCAGTCTGGGGAGCAGAGATAGGTTGATTGGGGCCTGGGGCAGGGGGTATGGTAATGCATTTGCCGAGTAAAGTAAGTTCCACCACAAATGATCACAACAGCCTGTACACCAGCTCCTTGGCTTTCCCACTCCAAACCTTCATCCTTCCTAAAACTAAAGTGTGAACCCTGTACTCAATTCACTTAGCCACTCACTCACGTAATACTTATTGAGCACTTTCTATATACCAGGCCTCAAAGCCTTCCATGGCTCCTCATTTCCTGCAGACTAAAGTCCTAGCTCCTTAGCATGGCGTTCAAGGCTGTCATCTCCAGCACAGTCATCAAAAATGTGGAACCTAATCTCATAGATTCAAAACTTGGCTTCTAATCACCTGCATGACCCTAAGAAGGTTACTTTACTTCTCAGGCCTTCAGTTTCCTCATCTGTGAAATGAAAATAAAAGTAATCTAACTTTGGGGTGTTTAAGAAGCAAATGAAAAATAATGCCTGGTAACATAGTACACAAATACATTGTTCCACATCCTACCTTGGCAAGTAGCTACCGGGATCTTAAAAGCTTCCAAGCGGCCATCTAGATGTAACGATGGGTCTCTCCTTGTCCAGAGCATAGAAGATGAAGAAAACCAAAGACATGTGGAAACAACTAGTCCAAGCAACTGGTACACCATGTGACCCTCAGCCTACATGACTATGAGACCAGAAGAACTAGACAGTACCCAGCTACCACTGTCAACCACTTGGAGGGGGATCTATGTAGGAGATCCTGGATAGAGAGGGAGAATAATGTGGAATAAAACTCAAAATCATGGGGGGGGGAGGGTAAAAAAAGGAAAAAAGAACCAGGTTTGCTGATCTGATAGAACCTGGTGGAACCCCTGAGACTATGGCCCCTAGCTGCCCTTCAGGTCTGGAATTGAACCCACTCCTGTGGCTTCCAGCCAAACAAAAGACAGGCATATGAGCTGAACATTTACATTAGATGGATACACTCCTTGCACAGATCAGTCATGGGAGAATAGAAGGGCTGTGTGTACACAGGGAGACAGTTTAGGGGGCAGGAGTACATGGGAGGGAAGGACACAGGGAAGAGGTAACTACGGGGAGGAAGTAAGAGGGGAGCTGTTGAAGTGTGGGAAATTACAATCAATGTCATGAGACAAAGTGTATGTGACCTGCTGTATGGAAAGTGAATTTGCTCTGTAAACTTTCACCCAAATCACAATAAAAAAAAAAAAAAAATGCTTTTAAGCATATACACCTGGCATGTAACTGTTCCAAAAACAATAGCTGTTATTATTATCAGGCCCTATTCTTGAGCTCCACCACATATCAGTTTGTCATACTGCGGTTGCTTGTGTGTTGTTATTATGCTGGAAGCTATGCCACCAGTATTTAAAATACCAGCAGGGTCACCCCTGGTGGGCAGGTTTCAGCAAAGCTTCCAAACTAAGACAGACTAGGAAGAAAGGCCTGGTAATCTGCTTCCAAAAATCAGCCCATGAAAACTAATGGATCACAACAGACACTGTCCAACAGACTTGCTTTGGACACATCATCGTGAATCCCACTGCAGGAAGACAACATGTTTGATGACGTAGAGGGCTGGCAAGGGCAAGAGAGACCATTGGTGAGATGGACTGGCATAATAGCTGCAAGATGGACTCGAATATGCCAGCAATCATGAGGATAATAACAATGGGGGAAAAAAAAGCCCACTGCCATGGAGTTGATTCTGACTCATAGTGACCCTTTAGTTCAGAGTAGAACTGGGGAGGGCTTTCAAGGCTGTAAATCTTTACAGAAAAAGACTGCCTCAACTTTCTCCTGCAGAGCGGCTAGTGGGCTCAAATCACCGATCTTCTGATTAGCAGCCAGATGGTTAGCTTTAACCACTATGCCACCAGACTGGACAATATTTCATTCTGTTGTACATAAGATCACCACGAGTTGGAGTGGACTCCGCAGCAGTGATCTATCTGGAGCTAAACCAAACCACCTGAGACCCTGAGCAAACCAGCTGGTTTCACATTCCTGAGTATTTGCATGGTGGCTCCCTCCATCAAGGAAACCTTTGTGGGGACCAGGTTTGCTGGTCTGATAGAGCCTGGTGGAACCACTGAGACTATGGCCACTAGCTGCCCTTCAGGTCTGGAATTGAACCCACGCCTGTGGCTTCCAGCCAAACAAAAGACAGGCATATGAGTTGAACACGCATCTGAGGTAGATACACTCCTTGGAGAGAACAATCATGGGAGAAAGAAGGGCTGCTTATGCACAGGGAGACAGCTCAGGGGGCAGGAGTGCATGGAGGGGCACAGGGAAGAGGTAACTATTGGGAGGAAGTAGGAGGGAAGCTGTTGCATTGTGGTAAATTGTAGGCAATGTCATGAGACAAAGTGTATGTGAACTGCTGTATGGAAAGTGAATTTGCTCTGTAAATTTTCACTCAAATCACTATTTAAAAAAAAAGAAAATCTTTGTGCCTTGTCACTGTGGCCAACTCCTTTAAGACTCAGTTCAAATGCTACCTTCTCTGACCACACAGCCTCAAGTTCTTTCCTCTTACCTCGAGAAGGGCTTGTCCATCACTCTCTCTCCAGAACCTAGCTACAGGCCCAGTACATCAGTTGTCAAGGTTAAAACACAGCAAGGAGGCAAGAATGTGTTCCATTACTCCTATTTTTCAGAAAAGGCTCACAGAGTTAAGGAACTAACCTTAACATTCCTCAGCAAGCAGGTAGCAGGCATGGGACATAACTCAAGTCACAGGACTGCAAGTCTTGGTCCTCATGAGGGAAAGGAGGAGGAAGGCAGGAGTATCCAGAGGTGTGGGCTTGTAAGCAGTCAATGCTTCTACACTAGCCTGGATGATTCAGGGGATCCCACAGGCTCAGTCTGGCCCACCCTTACTCCTTAAGTCTCTGGACTGCATAGTCCTCATGGAACCCCACCCAAGGGTGATGCCTATAAGAAGTGATGCACAGGTTTCTGAGGGGAATGGGCAGCTCTGGAGAAAGGACTATGGGTGCAAAGAAGACCCCAGGTGAGCTTCCTCCTCAGAGCCAGGGCCCTGGGAATGCAGGACTCATGTGCTCCTCCGATCTGGCTGCTAAACAAGGTAGTGGGAAGAATACAGGTTTGCAGCCACAAAGACACGGTCTCCAACCCTAGCTCTGCCAGCCATTACTCTGACCTTGAGTCTGCCACATCACTTATCTGAGGCTTGATTTCTTCAACTATACTATGAAGGCAGGGATTTTAGTCTCTCTTGTTCACAGCTGCAGCCCTGTTGCTTAGAATATAGTATTGGCACATGATAAGTGCTCAATAAATATTTGATGAATAAATGAATGAAAGGGGACAATGATGCTGACCTTGCAAAATACTGACTAGAGGTATAGGGAAGGGTCTTTTGGCCTCTTGGAGGGAGATCCACTCTCCCTGCTTTTCCTCAGAGAGCAGCTGCCCAGGGCCACCAGATCCCAGGGTCCCCTTCCCAGAAGTCAGAGATAAGTTCCAACAGGCGCCCTTCCCTCCCACCAAGCAGCTCTGCCTTGGGAAGAGGGAGCCAGGGCAGTGTCTGGTGAAACTGGGAAGCAGATGGAGAAAGACAGCAAGTGCCCCACAGGCAAGAAGCAGCCTCAGGAGCCAGGTTCAGAGCCCAGTACTGGCAGCCCTGCACACTGCTAGAGGCCAAGGGCCAGGTGCCAGGGCCGGCTGGCACTGCTAGCCCCTTGGCCGAGGCTGGACCCAGGCCCTGTGGGGTTAGGAGAGTCTGCCAACATCCGGAGCTGCTCTTGCAGCACCTTTTACCTGGGCCATTTTGATTCCAGCCCTTCTCCTTCCTTGAGCCTCTCCCAGTTGCTGGAAGGCAATGAGAGATCTGGGTTTCAATCCTACCTCCAATATTATTGATAAGCCAGTTCTCTCTGAGTTCAGTTGCCCTATTTGAAAATGGGAGTAATAATCCCTACTTTGAAAATGTGTAAAGTATTAAAATGACACAGGTGAAGCAGAATTTAGTGGCATATAGCAAAGCTCTGTACAAGGTAGGGCTAGGCCTGGGGACAAGGTTGCTTTCAGCAGGGCCAAGGAAGGCCCAGGTGGACTCCTCACCCACATTTCCAATGGCTTTATTCCACTTGGGCCGCACCCTGGGCCAGGCCCTGCCTCCCAGCAGCCCATTTTCGGCAGCGTCACGGGAAGGACAGCCCAGATCCCAGACCTCTGCCAAATGCTCCTGCTAGCCCCTCGCCTGCCTACTTCCCAGCCGGAAGCCACCAGGAGCCGGCGGCGGCGCCTGTACCTGCAGGTCAGGCTGCTGTATCACTTACATGTCACCTGGGCAAAGAACAGCGAGGCCCTGTTCTCCAGTGAGAACAGCCCAACCCTCGCCCTGGCTATCCTGTGGCTCCTGTTACCCAAACAATAACACCCAGTCGCCTGGCACCTCCACAAGGGGAAGGAGAAGACCGGCAGCCATGCCAGGGGCCCTGTGTCTTCTCAGGACCAGGAAGCAGAGCCTGGAACTCAGCCCTCACCACTGGAAAAACAGAGGCCCAGAGAGGCTAAGGACTGACCGAGAGTCACACAGCATTTCCAACAGAAGCTCCTGGAGAAACCACAGCCCCCAAAACCTAGGGAATAAGCTAGTCTTCTCTCACAAATTCAGGTACAATAGTTTTCAAAACTTAGTCAAGTTTTCCTTTAAACCTGGACCCCCGGTGAAGCTGGCTCCTGCCCCAGGATCCCCAAAGGGAAGCAGGAAGTAGTGCCCTGGGCTGGACTCCTAGATGTCTTCCCTCCCTACCAGCATAACCCAGGGAAGTTCTTGGGTTAAGTCCCTCCTGGCCTCTCCCAGCTCTACCTCTCTCATGGGTAGCCTAGGTCGCAGGGGCTTGTCTGGGCAAAGAAATCCACCTCTGAGTGCCATCTCCCAGGTCCCTGAACCCCCAGCCCTAGTAGGAGGGAAGGTGTGGGGGATAAAGGGGCTGCAGAGGGCAGTGTTTCTCATCTCGGAGGGTGAGTCAGCGAGAGAACCTCCAAGCAGCCAGTGCAGGGCCTGTAAAAACTCCATGGCAGGCATCCCAGAGCAATTTACTCCAAATTGCGCCTTCAGGTTGGTTACCTAATCCTACCTCGACCACCCTCCAATCGCCAATTGGGCATCCCTTTAAAGGAGCAGCACACCTTGGGTGCTGGGGACTCGAAGTCCTCACCCTGACCCCAGTGTGTGGCCCTGAGAGCCAGGGCCCACAGGGCTGCCTCCAGTAAGAGGGGACAGAGAAGGGGACTGAGGCAGAGGCCTAAGCCGAGAGAAAATCACCTGAGCTACCAGACTTAGTCCAGCTCTTCACTTCTCCTAGTACACTGGCTTCAGGCCCCCTGGAAAAGGGAGTATCACCTGCCTCCTTTCCAGGGTGAGGGTAATGGGAAAGTTTTTGACCTGCAAGTTCAGGGGCTTGACCTTGACCCTGGGGATCAAACAGTATCAAAGGGCACAGGAGCTAGCTTTCTGCTTCCTTATGGCGTAGCACTACAGACTCCTCAGAGAAAGGGCAGGAGCTGGTTCTGGGAGGGACTGGGCAGGCAGAGGCCAAACTCCTCAGGGCCCAGCCCTTGCTATATGAGGGAGCCCAAGACTAGCACCAGGGCCTTCCCTGTCCCCACCTCAATAATTTTCGCAAGGTCCAGGCCCCCCCACTCCCTTTTCCTCAGCCTGGGCAAGGGGATACAGGTATCCTCTGGTCCTACCCTCGGGGCAAAGAGAGCTAGAAGTCCCCAGCCCCAGAGGGGCTGTGTCACCTCACATTCCATAACTGCTAGAGGCAAGGAGGGGCAATCCTTCCAGAGTCAGCAGCAAAGAAGCGGAAGCGCTTAGGGTGTCAGTGGGATACAAGGAAAAGTGGGGGTTCCATGACTTTTGTCTCTGGTAGAGTCCCAGGTATCTGGCATGCCAGTCCTGACCGTCTGTGCTAAACACGTAGCCTCAACAGCACCCAACCGATCCCAGTATGGGTCCAAGGTGGGCGTGTGCTGAGGAGGACCTGATCTCGGCGCCCCACTCTCTCCCACCTCCTGGGTATTAGGGGTACTCGGCACTTGATGGAACCGTCCCTCGCACTCACACGCGCGTACACAGACAAATACACATACACAGGCACACAAACACACACACACGGAGCATGAGGGTGGGGGGAGCCGGAGAGTAAGCAAGAGATCGGAAAGCATTTGCGCCCTGGAGGGCGCCAGTCTAGCTGCAGCGGCGCCGTGGGCCGCCCCGCCCCTGGGCACACCGGCTCGCCGGCCGCCGGCGCCAGTCCCCCGCCTGGCTCACTCACCTCCGGGTCCAGCGGCACCAGCTCCATGAGCGGCCAGGGCTCCTTGAGCTGGGCGAGCGGCATCGCGCCGCCGCCTGGCCGCGAACGCTCCTCCTGCGGCCCTAGCTGTGCCGCTCCCGGGTGCTCGGTTCCGGGGCTCTGCGCGCCCGAGCCCTCGCGCCCCCCGCGCTCCGGCTGGGCCGTCCGCCGCCGCTGCTGCCGCCGCCGAGGCACTCGCACTTCGGCTTTTTCCGTCACCCGGCACCGCCGCACCCATTGGCTACCTGCGCAGGGGGCAGGGCCGCCGAAGCCCCGCCCCAGCCCCCGCGGCGCGGCATTCCCGGCGCGGACCCCCGCCCCTGCTGCTCCGGCAGCTTTAACCCCGCCTCCCCCAGCCCCAGGCCCAAGCTCTGCTCCGCCCAGAAGGGGTCCTCTTGGCTCCTCCCTGCCAAACCAAATCCCCCTGCGCGGACCAAGCCAGGGATCCGGGGTCCGGGGGTCGAACGCTCTCCTCCGCTTCGCTCATTTGAGAATTAATCCCCAAATGTCCTTTCTTCCTTCAGGAGGAGGGAAGCTCCCCCGCAACACCCAACACACACACGTACGCATGGTGTCCTGGGCGTGATCCCCACGGAGGCTTGAAAGAAACTGCTGTGCTCAAACCCTCACCGCAAAAGACCCTGGGGCTCCCCCTACCCTCTACATATTTCTGCCCATCGCAGAAGACAACACGGGGCTCTCACTGGGGGTTTCAGAGCTCCAGGCCGTTTCCAACTCTTCTGTCACCACTAGCAGGACCCACAGAGCCCCAGATTGCTTAATACGCATTTTTTGTAATTTGTGCCTATTTGTGCCCTATCATTTGAGAGGGCTTCTTTCAAGCTAGGCCTCCCTGAAATTTCTCCAGTTACAGGCCCAGCTCTGGGCTGATTTGGACTTGTGCTGCACCTGGCTCCCAGGATTGACTTGCACTTGCTCAGGACTAATGTTACAATATCTGGGGCTACTTAGACTGGAAAAATTATTTGTTCTTTATCTAAATTCAAGCTCTGGTGGCGTAGTGCCTAAGGCATTTGACTGATAATCAGAGGCTGGCGGTTCAAACTCACCAGCCACTCCTTTGGAAGGGAGACTGGGCATTGTACTTCGGTAGTGATACTGCCTCAGAAACGCAAGGAGGGGTCGCTCTGAGTAGGAACTGACTCGACCTGGACGACAGTGAATTCGGTTTTTTTGTTTTGTTTTGTTTTTCCATCTAAATTCAATTTATTTGGGCGAACTGTTGGAACTTGGAGTTAAAAGCATGGAGCGGCAGATTCCCCCTGGAGAGTCAGCCTTCACCTAAAGAGATCTTAGAGGTCCAGGTGTGGTGAGATTTATTCACTAGTGGGGAGTAGAAAGATGGGCTCGCTGGTTTCCTGAGTGTTGAAGACTGGCCATTGTTTGCAAAGCTGTTCTACAGCAGAGGGATGGAAAGGAATATTTCCCAAAAGCCTCCTTCAAGCCAGGCTCTGCCATCATGTGATCTCCTTGAATCCTGATCAAACTTGAAACTGAGACTCAGAAAGATGAAGTGACTTACCTAAGGTCACAGAGCTGGTGGAGAGTAGGACCTTAAAAAATTAAAGTGAATATTTCTGCTGAACCCAGATGCTCTCCTTCTTCCATGCGTTTCCCAGAGTAGAGCCTCAGTTGTTTCAAATTGAATTTTGAGTTGGAGTGACTTTGGATTTCTACAAATCTGGTGCAAATCCCAGCTCATCCACCTCCTTAACACTGGATGTCATTTTATGTCTCTAGACCTCAGTTTTCTTATCTGTGAAATAGAAATTATAATCCCGATTTTTCAGGGATATAGCAAAATTAGATTAATTTTAATTCAATAAATATCTATGAGAGGGAGGTATATATATATATATATATATATACACGCATATATATATATA